GCCCGTTCGCCGCCCCTCCTGCCCATCAGCACAGGCGTGCAACCCCTACACGTGCTGCCGGGGCAGGGGCTGCTTTGTCCAGGAGTTGATTCAGTCACTTCTGCACACCTGCTGCATGTGGCGCAGAATAGCGAGATGAATGCTTTCCCCTCACCCTTGACCGGTTCACAGTCCAGTTAGAGAAATAGACTGATAAATGATATTAAGATAGCACGATAAGTCCTGCAATAAAGGTAGTCTAAGGTACTGTGGTAGCACAGATAAGAGAAGAATGAATTCTGCCTGAGGGATTGTATCTGAATTGGGCTTTGCATGACAGTAGGAGTTCACCCTGTGAGCCAGGATCTTGGGGCTGGGAGCTGGAGGCAAGTGGGCAGGAGGAAGGGGCTCCAAGCTTCAGAGAGGCGGCCAGCTCCGTCCTGCAGAGACCCAAGTGAAGCGAAGTCTGTTCTCCCAGGAAGGGGTTGTACGGTTGGCGAAGGGTGACCTTGAACTGAGGAGCTGAGACAGCATTCCAGGCAACGTGTCCACAGACACACAGCTATGTTTAAAAAGCTATCAAGATCCTGCCTGGGCTCTTGCTGCAAGAAGGAGAGGGGGTGCAGAGCACATCAGAAATAAGGCTGCAGAGGTCGGCAAATCCGCGGGGCCTGTATTGCAGCCTGCAGGGCCCGGCTGAGAGCTCCTGACTGTGAATCACCCGTGGGAAGCTGGTGGCTCCCCGCCTGGGCTGCCGGCTGAATCACCATGAAGCCTGCACTGCACTGCAGACCAATCGACTCTGTGGTGGGACCCAACTCCCGAGGTGCAACCAGCCTGGGATGCTGAAATAAACCAGCACCAGAGAGGCTGAGTCTGGAATCTGCCTACGTAAGAGATCGCCAGCAAGTCCCAGTGGACTAGGTGTGGGAGCCATTACCTAGGCTATGGTGGAGGCCCTGGGGCTTTAGGGCAGAGGCCAGAATAATGGGGCCACGGTTTTAGGAATCACTGTTCTAGCAGAGGTTTGCAGATAGCTTGAAACAGGCTAAGCTGAAAGATTAGGAGAACAATTAGGAAACCCAAAAGAGAGCTGGGCAAAGGAGGGTGCAGACATGGACCCCACAGCAGAGGGGTTGGGAGGGTGGAAGGGGATAAAAGAAAGATTAGGTGCACAGGAAACTACAAAACGTTGCTGAAAGAAATTAAATGGAGAGACCTCCCATGTACATGGATTGGAGACTTAATATTGAGATGGTCATACTACCCAAAGTCATCTACAGGTTCAATGCAATCCCTATCAAAATCCCAATGGCATTTTTTTGCAGATATAGAAAAATCCATCCTAAAATTTGTATGAACTCTCAAGGGACCCCAAGTAGCCAAAACAATCTTGAAAAAAAAAAAAAGAACAAAGTTAGAGGTCTCACACTCCCTGAGCTCAAAACTTATTACAAAGTTACAATCGTCAAAACAATGTGGTACTGGCGTAAAGACAGACATATAGACCAATGAAATAGAACAGAGAGTCCAGAAAGAAACTCTTCCATACGTATATGGCCAAATGATTTTCAGCAAATGTGCCAAGACCATTCACTGGGAAAAGATAGTCCTTGCAATACTTGGTGCTGGGAAAATTGGATATCCACGTGTGGAAGAATAAAGTTGGACCCTTACCTTATTATACAATATACAAAAATTACGGTAGTTCCCCTTATCCACAGGGGATATGTTCCAAAACCCCCAGTGGATGCCTAAAACCATGGATAGAACTGAACCGTGGATACTATGATTTTTTCCTATACATACATACCTAGGTTAAAGTTTAATTTATGAAGTAGGCTCAGTAAGAGAATATCCAAATTGCCAGTGTCACTCCTCTTGCACTTTGGGGCCATTATTAAGTAAAATAAGGATCATGTGAGCATAAACACCGTGGTGCCGCAACAGTCGAACGGATAACCAAGACGGCTACTAAGTGACTGGCGAGGGGGTAGCACATGTACTGTGTGGATATACCGTGGACAAAGGGATGACGACTCACGTCCCAGGCAGGACAGAGCAGGACAGTGCAAGATTTCATCAAGTTATTCAGAATGGCACGAAATTCAAGAAACAAAATTGTTATGAATTGTTTATTTCTGGAATTTTGAATTGTTTACTTCTGGAATTTTCTTTTTTTTTAATTTTTATTTTATGTTATTATTATTATTTTGGCCATGCTGTGAGGCACGTGGGAGCTTAGTTCCCCAGCCGGGGAACGAACCCGTGCCCCCTGCAGTGGAAGCACAGAGTCTTAACCACTGGACTGCCAGGGAAGTCCCTGGAATTTTCTTTTCTTTTTTTTTTTTTTCCTTATTTATTTATTTATTTGGCTGCGTCAGGTCTTAGTTGCCGCATGCAGGGTCTTCACTGTGATATGCGGGGTCTTTTAGCTGCGGCACGTGGACTCTTAGTTGCGGCATGCATGTGGGATTTAATTCCCTGACCAGGGATCGAACCCGGGCCCCCTGCATTGGGAACATGGAGTCTTAACCACTGGACCACCAGGTAACTCCCTGGAATTTTCCATTAAATACTTTTGGACCCTGGTTGACCTCAAGTAACTGAAACCTTGGAAGGCAAAATTGCTGATAAGGGGGGGGACTTCTGTAACTTAAAATGGATCAAAGACTTAAATATAAGGGCTTAAACTGTAAAACTTAGAAGAAAACAGGGGAAAAGCTCCATGACATTGGATTTGGCAATGATTTCTTGGGTATGACACCAAAGCACAGGCAACAAAGTATTGATAAAAATATCAACAGATAAATTGGACTACATCAAAATTAAAAACTTCTGTGCACCACAGGACACAATCCACAGAGTGAAAAGGCAACCTACAGAATGGGAAAAAAATACTTGCAATTCATATATCTGTTAAAAGGTTAATATCCAGATGATATAAAGAACTCCTACCAACTCAGCAACAAACAAGCTGGTTAAAAAATAGTCAAAGGACTTCTTGAATAGACATTTTTCTAGAAAAGATATACAGATAGCCAACAAGCACAAGAAAAGATGCTCAACATTATCAATCATTGGGGCAATGCAAATCAAAACCACAGTGAGATACCGTCTCATACCTATTAGGATGGTTACCATAAAAAACAAAAACTAAAATAAAACAGAAAATAATAACAAGTATTGGTGAGGATGAAATTGGCACCCTTGTGTACCATTGGTGGGAATATAAAATGGTGCAGCTGCTACGGAAAAAGTATGGGGTTTCCTCAAAAGTATTAAAAATAAATTACTGTATGATCCAACAATTCCACATCTGGGTATATACCCGAAAGAAATGAAAGCAGGGTCTCAGAGAGATTTGTACACCCACTGTATTAGTTTGCTAGGGCTGCCGTAACAAAGTACCACAGACTGGGTGGCTTAAACAACAGAAGTTTATTTTCTCACAATTCTAGAGGCTAGAAGTCCAAGGTCAAGGTGTCGGCAGGGTGAGTTTCTTCTGAGACCTCCTTCTGTGGCTCATAGATGGCCACCTTCTCTCTGTGTCTTCATGTGTCTTCCTTCTGTGTCTGTTTCCTGATCTCCTCTTCTTATAAGGACACTAGTGCTACTGGATTGAAGTCTTATTGGAAGGCCCATCCATATGACCTCATTTTAACGTAATTACCTCTTCAAAGACCCTCTCTATCTGGGAATGCAGGGCTGGCATCGTTGTCGGTTTTTTTTCGGCTGCGCTGCGTGGCTTGTGGGATCTTAGCTCCCTGACCAGGGATTGAACCCGTGCCCTCAGCAGTGAAATACAGTCACATTCTGAGGTAATGGGGGTGGGAACTTCAAACCTGTGAGTTTTGAGGGGTACGCAGTTCAATCCATAACACCTGTGTTCATAGCAACATTATTCACAGTAGCCAAAGGGTGGAAGCACCCTGTGTCCTTTGATGGATGAACAGATAAACAAAATGTGGTCTATCCATGCAATGGAACATCATTCAGCCTTTAAAAGGAAGGAAATTCTGTTACACGCTACAACACGGATGAACCTGAGGACATTATGCTAAGTGAAATAAGCCCGTCACAGAAAGACAAATACTGTACGATTCCACTTACATGAGGTCCCTAGAGTTGTCACATTCATAGAGATAGAAAGTAGAATGGGGACAGGGGGTGCCAGGGGCTGGGGCAGGGGGCTGGGGGGTGGTTGTCAAATGTATATGGAGTTTCACTTTGCAAAGGGAAGGGCCCTGGAGGTTAGTTGCCCAACAGTGTGAATGTGCTTAACTGCACTGAACTGTACACTTAAAATGGTTAAGATGGTAAATCTTGTGTACATGTATTTTACCACAATAAAAAAGGAAAAAAGAAAAAAACCAAAAGGTTAGGGATGCAGGCAGCTTCTCCCAGTGGAGGACTGCCCAGGTGCGGTTCCTGCCCAGGCATGGAGGTGTCCACCGGGCAAGACACAGGAGGAAAGGGGAGCAGGGTGAGGGTGACGTGATGACTTCATTTTAGACACCACGAGTCTTTGGCGAGCTGCTCCCCCCAAGGCCATCTCTCTGGGCCACGATGTCATCAGGCCTTTCTGACCGCTTTGCCCCAGCGGCCAGCCCTCCCACGCGGCCCTGCCATCTTTCCAGGAGGACACACTTCCTTGGGCCACATTCGTGTCATGAAATGAAGTCCTCAGCGCCGCGGTGGGCTTTGCCCTCCCCTTTTCTGCTTTTCCTCCCTTGCTCTCTTCCTCCTGCCCTGCGGTCCCGGCCTCTTTTTCCTGCTCCTTCCCCTGGGGGGACGGGAAGGGAAGCTGGAGGCGGGTCCGGATCTCCGAGGGGGGCCAGCACGTCTCCACCTCTCCTTTCACCTTCTTGGCCCTCCGTGTCCTCCCTGGGGCTTGACATTCAAGGAGGTCTCAGGGAGGGGGTGGTGATACACACGGAGAGCCAGGAGCGGCCCTGCACGAGGCCAGATGGGCAGCTGAGGGTCCAGGTCATTGACCATGTGCTCTCTTTCCTTCCTAGGACCTGAGCTCCTTGGCCATGCCGCTCCTGGATGGAGACCTGGAGAGTTCAGAAAAGCATCCTTCTCGTAAGGTAAGGCACCTTCCTCACAGCTTCTCACGGCTCACCTGAGGTGCCACTGAGGCAGAACTCCCTCAGTGCGAGCCCAAGACACATCCACCCGTGCTCCCACCTGTGCTCTCAGCTGTACATCCACCTGTGCTCCCACCTGTGCTCTGACCCGCGCTCCCACCCGTGCACCTGGCTCTGCCGAGCCCAGCCTCACACCTGCCAGGCTTCACGCCTTTCTCTTCTCTCCTCTTTCCTCTGGGCTCGTCTGCGGCCACGGGACTCCCCAAAGAGGGCAGAGGTGATGCCAAAGAATGACAGTGAGCTTAGCATCCTGAGCGCCCGAGGAGCTGATTAGCGAAGAGAGGAGGTTGGAATCATCAGTGAAAGCGGGATGTGGAGACCAACTGTCTCCCCCGCAGTCGGGAGCCCCTTCTCCCTACCCGTTCCTCTCCCTTTCGTCCTCTTTCCCCCTTTCCCTTTCCTCTCTTTAACCCGCATTCTCCCCTCCCCCGCTGGTCAGTTTTTCCTCCAGAGGAAGCTGGAGCCGTGGAGGGCAGGCAGCCGAGGAGTGCGCATCCCGGGGTGGGTGGGTTGGCCATGGCAAGCAAAGGGAGGTCAAGGTGGCCCGCGGTCAGGGTGAGTGTGGGGCAGATGGCTGGGGCGGCTGGTGGGCCGAGGCTTCGGGAGGGGCTGCCGTGGGCAGTGTCTGAGAGCAGAGACAAGAGTTAGGCTGAATTCTTTGGCCCTGGAGGCTCCACGTCCCTCATCCCACCAGGCTGATGGGAAATGTGAATCTCCATCATTATTGGGACTTCCTTCCTAGATTGTGCAAAGGTCCTGGGGTCCCATGCAGCACCTACACTTGGGTTTTAAATGAAGAAACTGGACCTCAGGATGGTGAAAAGACTTTCCCACAGTCATAGGGCTGCTTAGTAACTGAGCCGGCTTCAGTCTGGGTTGCTTGGTGCTCAGCCCAGTGTGCGTTGCTCTGCGTCTGGACACCCTGAACTGGGGCCAGTGGTGCAGGCCATGCAGGGAAGTGTCCTCAGCCGGGCAGGTACCGCACAGAGGCTTTCTGCCCTTTCTGGGTCATCTCTGCATCTTTGTACCCTGTGACTAAGACCCCCATCTCCTTAGGGGACTGAAAACCCTCAGGGACTGCCAAGCTGAATGTGGACTGGACACTTGGCGGCCTCCTCTCCTATCTAGGTACCACTCAGAGTTCAGTGGAGGGGCCACAGCTGAGCTCCCCTTTATGGGTGTTCTTGACTCAAGGATGCCAACCCTGGGACTTCCCTGGCAGTCCAGTGGTTAGGACTCCGCGCTTTCACTGCTGAGGGCACGGGTTCGATCCCTTGTCGGGGAACTAAGATCCCACAAGCCACGCAGCGCAGCCGAAAAAAAACAACAACGATGCCAACCCTGCATTCCCAAGCATCAGTTGATATGGGAGCTGCCTGGTGTTCCCACCTGTCCCCTTTCCTGGCTCCCCTGTTCCCAGAGGTGGCAGCTCTTTGTTACATAACACATCTCGGTACAAGAGCTTCATGGTCATCTTGACTGTGCACAGCTCTGTGTGCAGCTCCGGGGCCAGTATTGGCAGGAAGGTCAGTGCCGTCGACGTCCCTGGGATCATTCAACACCACTGTGGCCACTCTGGGTCAGCCAGCATGGCCTGGCCTGGGGCAGTCTGTGGAATGCCCAGATGACCACAGGTTTTCCTGTCTGTGTCCCTTGATCCTGGGATGGGGAGCCCGGCTCCTTTGTTCATTTTTCCTGGCAACTTCTCTTCTGTGTGACCCGGGACAAGATATTCTCTGTGAACCTGTCTCCCCATTGGCAAACCCGGGCTCGTGGCGGTGCTCACCTCTCCTTATGAGGATTCAATGAGCTTGTCGATGGAGCAGACGTAGAGCAGTGACTGGCCCGGGACACGTGCCCAGGGGCAGTCTGGGAATGCAGGCTTGGCCTCAGGACAGCCCCCACTTCGGAGCACCGTGAAGGGGTGCACCCATGACCCATTTACCTGAGCCGTCGGGAACGTGGCATCTGGCCAGGCCTTAGACGTGGCTCGGACCCTCTTGTCCACTGCTGGCCGTGTGTACTGTTCCTCCATTCCCTCGGCTGAGAACGCCAGCCCCTTTCTGTCTGGAGCACACAGGGACTCAGCCCGGAGCTGCGCACCATCAGCACACTGGCCCCGAGGGCACTGGCCGTGTCCTGCATCCCAGGCACAGCCTCCGCACCTCCCCAGCCTGAGTCGGGCTCCACAGACCCTCACCTCGAGGTTTTGTCCAACTCGGCCCCCCTTTCCTGGCGCCCTTCACCTTTAACCCCTTCGCCCCCACCCATTTCCCTCAAGCTCCCGAGGGGTGCCCGGTGCCCAGCTGTCGGTCACCGTCGAGGCCAGCCCCGCGGACCCCTCGCCCACCTTCACACGTGCAACCCTCTTCCTCACTTTCCTGCATCCTCGGGGCTGAGACCAAGCACCGGGTGGCCTGGCCCTGGCCCCCGCGGCCCTCCCTGCAGTGGCGGACAGAGGTGGGCCTGGAAGCTCTGCTCACCGAGGCCTGAGAGCCCGCCCCGTAGCTCTGCAGAGCCGGCAGGCACTCGGGAGGCTCTGGGCCCTTCGTTCACGTTCACCCAAAGCCAGGGAGGCGTGCCGTTACGTTTGGCAAGGTGTCACTTTACTGCAGCTTGCTAAGAGGCGCGGGCTCTGTCCCCAGTGGCTGCGATCATGCCGATACCCACGCCACCCCTCCCACCCTGCAGGAAGCAGACCCGGGGGCCCAGCGCCACCGCCCCCTCGCCAGGGTCAGGGCGGGAGACACGGGGGACAAGGCCGGGATGGGCCACAGCCACCACTGTCTGGCCGTGTGGGGAAAGGGCCTGCTTTCTGGAGCCCCCTCCTGAAACCTGATGGCTGAGTGCCTGGCCCTTTTGGCCTGCAATTCTGAGCCCTGAATTGGAATCAGTCCCAGTGGGAGAATCCTAGGGCTCCCCTTGCCCGCCAGGTAAGGTTCAAACCGGCACCCAGGCCCTTCGAGACTGCCATTTGGCTCAACCTGCCCCAGTGACCCGTCCGCGGTGGCCCAAGTGAGTGGCTGTCTGTCTGTCTTCCCGGCTCCAGCTCCTCTCTCCCCCCGACCCTGGGACACCTCTGCCCATCGGCCTGTCCACAGCCCGTCGGCTTTCAGCGCCTTCCCTGCTTCAGGGCCCCGTGATGGGCAGTGTCTCCCTCTGAAATCTCTCCCCATCCGGGCCACTCTCAGGGCAGCCCTGTCTTGCCTGCTGTTCTCCAGGGTCTCGCGGGGACCCCATCCTTGCCCACGTCTTGTTCCCTGCATGCAGTGAGCGTCAGCTTTGCTCAGCAATCCCTCCTCCCTAGGCAGAGCTCACTGTGCAGTGTGAAGGGGATGGGGCAGCAGCGGAGCTGGCCTCCTACTGTGACTCCCTCCCTCTGCCTTCAAGCTTGACCTTGACTCCTCTTCCGTTTCACGTGGCCATTTCCGCTTTTCTCGGGGGGTGAATGGCGTGAGGGTCAAGGCCGTGGGCCTGAGGTCCCGCCCACCACTTACCAGCTTTGGGGCCTTCACTCAGCCTCCAGCCAGCGCCCTCTCTGAGCTCCGGGCTCAGTGGCACCCAGAGGGTTATGGTGACAGGCCACTAGAACGTCTGCCCTAAATGACCGTGTCCCCCCCCCCCCCCCCCCCCCCCC